TGGCTAAATGAAGCTGAGTCTGATACGTGCCTCAAATTTCTTTGCTTTGATGCAAGCCCTAATGTCACCACTTAGTCAATGAGAAGACCAGTTAGGGATTTATCAAGACTAACTGTGGCAGGCAGAGCTAAAGGCATATCTTGATTAAGTGCTCTAAGAAACTGGAATTAAACTGTGGGACTGCAGAGGCTGAGAAGAAGCGGTCTACACGCAAGTTTTCATTTCAAAGCACCTTGAACTATGGCCCTTTAAAAATCTGACCTTTTCCTTCCAGCTCTTCTCTTCATGCTACAAGTAAAGCCGTGGAACCTGCCAAAGTAGAAAACTAACTTATTAGTCACAGGACAGTTGGTAGCACATGGAGTGTACTTCTGATTAATTTATCAGTCTAGGTTATTTTATGGCCAGCTGGCCCACCCTCATTGTGTTACATGAGCATGTTAAAACTATGAAGTGTTCGCACAAAGATACATTTCTCTTCCTTCCTGTCACCCTGTTTTAATTCCGAGCTGATTTCTTTAGAGATAGATAGCAGTGCTGTGGGAAGGCTCCAGTACCGCCGGGCCTGCTCCTTGTTTGCGTTAAGAGTCCCTACGGCGACATGAAGGAAGTTTAGTTTGAAGTGAGACTCAGTCCTTCGTTTCTGCGAGGATCAGAGAGGCGTGGGCAGTTACTTGTGTGGTGGCTTTTTGGTTGATGTTGTTTTTATTTATTTTATTTTATTTTTATTAAATAATTCCTTTACAATTGCATAAATACAGTTTGTGCTGCTTCTGTTTTGACAGGCTACATGCAGTGGTGGCTCAGGTTACTCTCTGCAATCTACATTTGAGGAGTTCATTTATGCTTGGCATTGCTCTGTTAAGAGAAAGTGTAGTGACTCAACTGGAAATACGGGGAGGGACCCTGACCAATTCAATCTTCGCATATAAGAAATAATAGAAGTTTCTAAATAGCAGAATTATGAATATCACAAAGGGAGAGCTACCCAGTACTGCACTCTTTTTGGCTCCTCTACTGAAAATGCAACAATAAACACATTTTCCAGCAAACTGATTCAATACCAAGACTAATCTCTCAATGTGCTTGAATTTTGTGTTTCTTCCTTTTTTTGTTCTCTTGTATTCACAAATCAAGCAAATAAACCAGGTAAGTTAGAATACTTTAACAGCCTGTCAAATAGGGCAGTTCTGTTGCTTATTTATTTAACCAGCACATTCACGGGTATCTTTTTCATAGCATTATCTCATAAAAAATACACATGTAAGTCTAGTACAAACCATAAAAATGTATTGTAGACTTCAGCTAATCTGGTATCTTTCACTTGTAAGGAGGATTTGGGTGGAGGCCAAGTTAATTAAAACCGGAATAGAATTGTGTTCTATTCACATGAGTCACATACCTCTGACTCACAATAGAGTCAGTGCAGCTAATGGGTTAATTTGTCCTGATAACAGAGGAAAAATGAAGCTAGATGTTATGACACTGTTTGAACTGAGAGCAGGTTTCAGACAGTAGAAGGTTTTTATGTAGTTAAGAATAAAGCTATGAATTAAGATGTTCTTTCTATCAATTCAAGTGCCATTGCAAACAGTTCTGAAAGATCTGTAGGTACAGAAGGCTTAGAAATCCAAGACTGACACCTTCAGTACTCTGAAATATATATGGTTACAATTACAAAGTATTTCAATTACCACCATGTAGGGGAAAGTCAAAATTACATACGCAGAGCTGGCCATTTCCTCCCAGCTGATGGCCCCTGCAGCATTCCAATAGGCAAAATTATTCCTCCAGCAACCTAATTAACCCACATGTTTATTTCTTTCAGTGGCTTGATGCTAGTATCTTTATCAGAGGCAGTGTGGTAATCTTCTAACAGACTTTGCAATTCCTCTGTTTCCTGTTTCCCTATGCACTGGCATTCCACATAGCCCTCATTAGTAACTTTCTAGCTCCCTGTTTTATACAACATAAAGCCACAGACAGGATACTGTAAGGGGAATCTGATTCCTAATCCATACCTTCATGATCTTCTTTGTAAAGTTCATTTATAGTTTTTCTTCTGTCACATTCCTGCAAGACTGAGAGCCTTTCAAGATGAGGACTGTACCATAGCATGCATTCACAGAAGTGCCAGTGCAACAGATCCTGTAGGCATGGTTATAAAACAAACAGCACTAAGAAACACATCTGAGTTATATTTACCTAAAACTTAGTGCCAAGGCTGAAAACAGACAGCAGAATTCTGCTACTCTATAATTGATTTGGGTATCTGATATTTAAGGGCCTCCCAAAGAGAAGATACACATTATCTTGCTTTTTCAAGCCTCATGCAGGTGAAACTCTTAATGTATACAAGAGTGGACAAGAATCACATGCATTTTAAAAGGTAACTTAAAAAGCAGCTATTAGAGATTATTTGAGGAAAGCAGTCATTAAAGGTAATAGTTCTGTGGCTGTAATTATATAGGACTGTGCTGGGCTGTGAAGACAACACAAGTCAGACCTCAGTGTGAATGTGACTGGGGCTTCCCACGGTTATATGAATTTTTATCCATTTCCAGGTCAGATAGACTCTAAGAAGCCACAAGGACATCTTTTCACATACTTAAGGTTAATTCACCATTTTCCCAAATTGAGCCTATAATCCTCCTAACCTTGCAAATGTCAGACTGTGCAAAGGAAAATCTGTATTCCCCTGTTACTTAGATATTGCCATCCAGTAAGAAAGAAGTTATGTAAAAAAACACACAAACAAGCAAACAAGAAGTCCTGGTCACAGCAATTTCCCCTCACCCCACCCCTTGTATGTAATTTAATAGTTCTCAACTGTTCAACTAATATAACAGTTATAAATCTGGCATGTGATCCAACGGACTAATCATTCAGAGACATAACTACAGTCAGCAGCATTCATTCCTCCCAGTATCAAAAGTCCTAAGCAATGAATGGTGCTGATTAGTCACAGCTGAAGACTTTCAGAGCCCCAACACGCTGGCTTTGTATTAATTTTCACCAAATTGGAACACTGCAAACACCCAGGAGAGGGAGAAATAGTTAAAGGATATTTTCAGGCTTATATCCTATAAAACTAAACCAAACCAAGCAGAAAACAGCCTATGTGATTTATCATAACGTGAAGATCTCAGAAAGGAAGCAGAAGATGCTCTTTTCATTTCCTCCCCCAGTCCATAAGAGGGGCATGGCCCCAGGCAGACTTTCAGCTCCTCACACAGAACAGAGGCACCAAGGTTGCAATCCTGAAAAATCTGTTCAGACACCACCTTCCCCGAAGGCATCTAAATTTCACCCTTGATTTTCATTTAAAAATTCCCTAGCATTTATGCCTGCACATGTTCAGAGCTGACCCAACCTTAATGGGACTGAGTAGTTCTAGTTTTAATTTGACTGGAATCCAAAAACGAAGTGTAGCACTCCATACAATACTTGCACTCAGAGAAGGTTCAAGAAACCTCAACTGACTGGACAGACAAAATGCAATCATGTCTGTCAATTTTACTAAGCACAGCTTGGAGATGAGGTTGCGTTCACCTCCCTAGGTGAGCTCACCTAATGGCTAGAGCACAGGTGGAAAGCAGGGGATGAAGCTATTTGCTTTGGTGAGGAAATTCGAACCTAAATCAGGCTGTGAGGCTGTGTATTGTAGGAAAATCTTGTCTTGGGGCTGTTTTGCTCGCAAAGTCTTAGAAAAGACGAGTGAAAGCATGACCACTGATCAGCAGTAATTTTCCACTGAAACAGGTAATGTTAATTCTGGTCCCTCTTCAAAGCGTTTCTGCATTCTAGCACCCTTTGATAGACTAAAATACAGGAGGCCCAAAAATATATTCTTTCTCTAAATCCCTTTCCACCGTTTGAATATAAGCATCAGTGATGCTCCCTCTTCTACTTTTTCTCCCTCTTTCAGTTAATGTGGAATTGCTTTACGTACAGAGGTGCATCCTCATCTGAAAGCAGGCAGTGCATGGCCAACAGGGGGAAAAAATGCTCACTGCCTCAAATCAACAAAGCACTCTTCTAAGCAGGAACAGAAATAACTCCCAGTTGTGCAGAAGGGCACTAAACTCTATGTCTTTCACTTTCTGGGTGAATACCAGTGAAGCTAATTGAGGTAGCTAGACTATCTCCTGTTTGTTGTACTACAATGTTTTGCGGGTGAAGCCCATAAAATTCAGGACAAAATCTGGAACAAAAGCTGCCAGGGCAGATGGTGTGGCTTAGCATTGTGGATTCAAAGCACATACACGTCTTTCCAGCTCTGAGTAATGGGGCTGGGATTGAAGAACGGCATTAAAACTCACCTGTCCTAAGTGTTCCCTGTTGATTAGGCAGGTCATTTTGGTAGTTTCACCTTTACAAGCAGATTAAAGATCAAACACCTGCTTCCGGATTCATTCCAGTAATTCAGTGGCTAAAAATGTTCATCTGTGGCACTTTACTTGCCTATATTTTTTATTCATTCCAAGTTCTCCACTGAAGCTTCTTCACTAAAGGATCACAACAAAAATACATTTATAAAAAAATAATGTCAAAAGCTTCTTGAATGCAGCTATTATCTGAAATGCACGAGTTAATTTTGACTATTTTAGCATTCCACTAACATCAGTTAAAGTTGAAATTCACAAAACTGCCTTGCAAAATTCTGCACTATAACCAGCTGCAAAACCTCAGCTAAAGAGCTCAACACAGCAATGTCAAAGGCACACTTTGCTGTTTTGAGTCAAATATGGCATTTTCCTGACCTGCTGCTGCTAATCCATTCAAGCATATGTTTGCACGGCTGTTTTTGCCAGCCCACTTTCAGCTGTCACTGGCCTCCACAGAAAATAATAATAAACAGTGAGTACACCCACAGGGATGTAACTGAGAGTAAGCTGGATGCACAGAGAGGTCTGGAAGCTATAAGAACATGAAACCATACAGCCTTCCTAATTTCTTTTTTCATACGTGTAATATACTTCAGCCCCAAAACAACAGCATTGATTTTCAGGTGATATTTTATTGTGCACGATAACAAAGGTTTGAAAAAAAAAGCCACAGGAAATGTGAGTAATGGAGTGTTGCTTACTTACAGAGTACATAGAGCATATTCTGTGAAAGCTACTAATTTCTGTTGATGGGAGCACATTAATTTAAAGTAAGCATTATTGTGAGGTACCTTGCAAAGTGAATTTTGCAAATGTTTTTTCCCTAAACTTGCACTTGAAATTTAGAAACTTGTATTTACATGACACCAACATTGCTGCAGAGTGTATAGCATTAAACTATTATACAGGAAAATATCTCATTATTACTAAAAGAAATAGGCACACAGAAAGTATCATCAAAATACGAAACATTAGCCCTAGAAAATGTCAAATGACTCAAAAGCTCTTTGGAAAATTTGTGGATGTTGAGGTATGCATTACTTTTGTAATTTTATTGCCACTATTTTCATTCTTCCCGTGATACAATTAAAAAAAAAAAACATACTTTCAATCAATTACAACTTTCTACAAAGGACTTATTCTGCCTTTATTTATTTTTTAACTGTAAAGAGAAAATCCACACTGATTCTCACTGCAGAATGGTAGAACTCTAGTAGGTAACAGTGCAGAAAATCCTGCAAGAGGTCTACAAGGCACTGTTCTCTTTCTGAGTGCTTGACATGCATACAGGCCACGTGTGATGGCTGATTTGTAAGACATGAACAACAGAAACTAGATCTAAAGCTAAAATGTAGTGTAATTATTTAATAATAATTAAATATTATATATATATTTTTATCTAATGAAATAAACTCCATCATTTCTAAAAGCCATTCTGCTTTAAAACACTATGGGCTGCAGAAAGATGTCTGCAAAATTAAACAGATATGAATTTTGAAAGATACTTTATGAAAACGAGCAAGAACCAAGGTCAACCAAGTAGCACTTAGGTCAACTGATATAGTTTGCCTGAATATAAACCATTCCCAAATAATGTAACCCCCTCTATAAACAGAAGAGACCAAATGCTCTGTTGATTTACTGCCACTGATTTATGTGCCAACAAGCAAGTTGGTCCACTGTCAACACAGAGTAATCCTATCGTGAGCCTGACGTGTATCAGGTGAAATTACACAAGGATTCCTTGCTACAATTTTTCTGGGAAGTCTTGATGGCAACTGGGGAGCTTTTGAAAACCATAAAATACTTAGGATGTCAGATAATTATTCTAACAATGACTTTCTGACATGCTCCTTTTTGAAAAAACAAAACAGAACAAAACAAAAAGAACAACCCAGTTTTGTGTGGTTGGCAGAATCCACTGATAGGGAAGGCATGCCCACCTCCAACCACAAAACAAACTTGGCTACCATGGTGCTGCAGTGGCAAATAGATGAATTTCAAATTCCTTTGGCAGTTTCATGACGTCCCAGCATCAGAAATGTTTACTGCCTTTTTTTCCCCTCAAGACAAGCTAGCATCTGCTGGTTTTCAGTGGGCTCAGCTACCTGTGGGCCTTCATGTGACAGAGCACAACACGCAAACAAAAGCGGTCTGGAGGATGATGCTCAGAAACCATCATGAGATCTTAAGGCAGTGGCCTGGGTTTAGAAACACAGCCAAAGTATGAGACAGCATCCTCAAGATGAGAGGCTCCCTCTGTGAAACGGGCCTCTCCCGGCGACCGCTGGTATCCTACATTGGCTAAATCTATTGATCTGGATCTATTTAAACAGATTTTAAACTAACCGTAAATAAAACCAGGACTGACCTAAAATGTAAACAAATTCTATCCTAATGTAAACTGAGGGGAATTTTGTATCCATTTGCACGCTGACATACAGTGCTGTGTACTGAGAACAGAAGCATGATAAATGACAGCAGAATATGGCCCAACTACCTTGACATTTTACTTCCCTGCAGGAAGGCGCTGGCCTACACTAACTGTTGAAGAGCCAACTGTCTACAGTAGTACTCTATATTTCTATAATATTCTGTATCGAAGCAATAAATATTAGATATAATCTGTATATTAGATTTCATATTTATCTGATAGCTATTTAAATCTACATTGTCATATATAAGCAGTGACCACTCCTACCTGGCAGCATACACTATTTGCGTGAACGTGTTAAAATCATCACATGGGTTTGTATTTATGTAGGACTCTCCTGGTCAAATAGCAACTTAAACGTACATAAAAAAGGGAATTTGCACAGAGGTTGGACTTTGTTAAATGTTTCTGTGGTTCCGCATAACATCATTTCAGTATGGGGATTTCACAATTCTATCTCAATTTTATGTTACTGTTATTATTATTTTAAAGACTGAGAATACAGGTAGAATAGACTTCAAAATCTCCAATAAAGTTATATCAGTACAGCACAGGAATACGTATTTTCAAGTTTAAGAAATAACAATTTCATTGTTCCTAACCTTTTTCCTCTACATATATAAATCTCCTTTTTACAGAAAGTGCACACTGAAAACAAGGACAATCAAAATGTTTTGGCGCTGCTGAGATGTGAAAGTGTTTCAACTGAACAGGATCTGCAGAAAAAAACATCATGCATCTGTTAATGAACTATTACAATTACTATAATCTAGCTCTGCAAATTGCAAACTTCTTACATGTTAAATAGTAAGCTATGTTGAAATTGCTGCCTGTTTACAAATGAGAAACCCCACCTCATTTTCCTCCAAAAAAAGTGGTCGGGTAATTCCTACTGTTTAGCTTCTCAGAAATATCAGAACTATTAAAGACATCATGAAAATGTTCATTTTCACAGGAGTAAAAATGTCCAGTTATTTACCTAGGCAAAATGTAAATAATTGTTACATTCTGTAATTCTAACTTCAGAAACTCAACTTTAACTATGTTAAAAAACATAGAGGTAACCAAATATTTTGATGAATACTTTTAGAACGCAATTTCTGAGTTCAGAGAATATCCAGGTATTATCCTTTGAACCAAATACTGACTCTCCTTTGCAAAAGCTGATACTTGTGGAGATTTATTTATTCACAGAATAATTTCTGTGGCCCTCAGGCACAGTCAATATTGTTATTGACTGTTATCAATTATTCACCAAAGGCAGAACATAATTGTTGTCTTCCTTTTAAGTTGATGTTGCACTGGAAAGCACTAATTAAAAAAAAAAAAAAAGAAAGAAAAAAAAACTCTGAAAATTGAAAAATATTATGCTTTGTACAGAAATCAACATTCAGGTGTTAATAACTGTAGCTGACAGTACTGCATTTCTTCAGATGAACAACCTCAAGAGCTGATAGATCGCCTGCCTTTCACCTACAGCAGTTCTGCCATAAATGGATGGCTTGCAAAAGTTTCCTTTCTACAATACACAAATTTCCAATACTTTTTGCCTCAGGATTCTTTTTTTTCTGTAGTGTGTAAGCCAGTATCCCAAGAAACTGTGGTGCGCTGGAACACTTCACTTAAGAAGGTATCTAAAACTGACATGAAGACGTCTAATATATGCTTAGTTTACTTCTCAGCAGTTTTGATAATTTATACTAGTGTCAGGCAGCCTCTAGAGCTTCTTCATAGAAACATAACTGATGCTTGATAACAGTCTAAGGAAAGAATTAATTCTCATTTCTCTTTTCAGTCTTTGATAAACTGAAACCAAACAGATAACAGCTTATCGTTGGTCATGATTTAAAAAAAAAACAACAACAAAAGTATTCTTTATAGACACAAAAAATGACCAACCGACCTTACGCTGCAGCAGTATTTGCAGATATGAGTAGTTCTGATCTACAAAGGTTGTTCCAGAAGTAATGCCTCCTAGTTTATTATGTTGGCCCACAAGGCAGATGATGGGATGGCAGTAGAGGTTGAAGTAGAGGTTCCCACCAATATACCATTACATTTTATTCATATGTGAGACTGATAGCAGCACAGGGGCAGTCTGACAAAATGGCATCTGACATGGAAACATGGATGAAGCAGTGGGGGGGAACTGAATTCTTCCATGTGGAAAAAGCCAGCACCAAATGTCACTCACTGTGCTTGTGTCCCAATCACCTCATCCACGAGAGTCGGCAGATTATGACCACAAAACTGTGTACGGAGATGAATGCTGGCTTCAACACATTGAAAATGATGATGGCAACATTAGAGTATCACCAAGCGTGTGCCAGCTAGACCCTATAAATGCTCACAGAGGAACAGAAAGAACACTGCTTACAATATTGTCTGGATCTAGTGAACCAATATGAGGCTGAAGGTGATTAGTTTCTTGGATCGCATCGTTATCAGCGACAAGATTTGGTGTCACCACTATAAGCCAGAGTCAAAACAGCACTCCATGAAGTAGCAACATGTGAATTCCCCATCGATGAAGAAGTTCACACGGGTCAAGTGATGTGCAGCGTCTTCTGGGATAGGAAAGGGGTGAGCCTTCCTGATTTCTTGGAACTCAAACAAACAGTCAGCTCTGACAGCCACATCACAACACTGACTAAGATGAAGGCTCGAACATCCAGAGCTAGGCCAGAGAAGTTGGCAACCTTTCTCTTGCAACATGACAACTCTGGACACCGTATCAGTCTGAAGACTGTGGAATACATTGCCAATATTGGCTGGACCGTCCTACCACAGCCACCATACAGCCTGGATTTGGTGCCTTCTGACTTCCATCTGTTCAAGCCGATGAAAGATGGATTGCATGGGCAATATTTTCTTAGCAATGACACCATGACACTTGCTGTGATACAGTGGGTCAGCTCCACTGGTGCAGATTTTCACAAGCACAGCATGCAGGCTCTTGTTCATTGCAGGTAAAAATGCACAGTTAATTGTGGTGGCTATGATGAAAAGTAGAGTTTGGTAGCTGAGAATTTTCTCTATCAAATAGTGTCATGGATGCTTACCTGTGCAACCTATTGTAGGGTACCTGCTTTAGCAGAAGGTTAGACTTGATGATCTCTCAAGATCCCTTCCAACACTGAGATTGTGTGATTCTGTTATTGTGCTCTTTGTTCAGGTTGTAGCTTTCATGGAAATAAATAGGAGACATTACTTTCAGAGCAACCTCCATAAAAGCAGCGTTTTTATATCTGAAAGGGTAGAGGAATGTTTCTGGAAAATAGATATTATTCTTTATGCTGAACATTAGGCAACAAAATCCATTCACCATAACATCAACCAAAGGATAGATTCTAAAATCTATTTAATAATAAATCTAAACTTATGATGTGACAATTCCATGTTCCAACTATTAAAAGTTGAAAAAAGAAAAATAAGCCAACTTTCTAGCATTTCTATGCTAATAAAACAAATACTACAGGGAAACTGTATCATATACAGGTGTGCTTTCCTGAAAATGTGTACTTGGGGAAAAAAACAACAATAAAAAAAGATCTCCTTCATGAACAAAACTAAGTGAACAAGCTGCAAAGCGTACTTAGAAGGAATGCTCAGTACTATATACTTATAGAAGAGCATCACATTTTAATAAGACTGAAGGAAAAAGTAGCCACTTCAGTTTGTACCCATAGAATTCAAGCCTAACTGCACTGAAAATACAAATTATTTAGGTTAAGTACTTGAGAAAGTCTATTCTTTTCAGCTTTCATGTGAAGAAGAGAATTTTACTGTTTCTCCATATGCACATTTTTTAGAATTTCAATGCAATCATTTTATCATGGACAGAAAAGTATTCTTCCTCCCCCCAGATTGGAAAAGACATGTTTCATAAACACTGAAGTAGATGCTTAGTATAGAAACTTCCTATATTTGGCTTCGACAGCTGATCTGAATTAAAGTTAATAAATCTTTTTTTTTCCATTGCTGCTCCACCTACTACAAAACTGTAGAGATGGAGTTATTACTGAAACATAGATTCTCCCAGAAGATATCCAAATACCTTCCTCCAAATTTTTTCCATAATTTGTATTAGTTTTACGTAGTCTTAGCTTTAAACCCACTGTGGAAAAAGTTGTGCAAGAGTAGTCAATTAAAGATTCTTCAGATGAATGGTTTAGTTCCTTCTAGGATAACGATGCAGAGGAATATCGGTGAAAAATATGCTAGTTATGACATTTTCTTTGTTAAAATTTCTTTATGTTCCAAATGAATTCTTCACTCCACATTCCTGTATTTGGTAAACAAGTTATACAGTACTCTCAGTGTAGATTTCAAGTCACAATTTACAATATCTAGAAAAAAAGACAGGGAAAAAATTATTAGCAACTTGGTACATCCAAAACATTTTCAGAAAAAGTGCTTATTCTTCTATTTTCTGCTGAGATCCATATCTGTAAACATAAGAATCACAAAGACAGTAAAAAAAGAATAGAAATATAAATAAAGCAATTTTTAAACTCAAAAATCAAAAATCATTTTTTCAACTACGTTTACTTAAGGTTACAAATACCTTAAAGTTGCTGATGTAGAAATGCAACCAAATTTTCAAGGCCTATAAGATAAAACTGTACCTAGCTTCACATATACTGACAGGACTAAATCTTCAGTTAGTTGTGGCCAAAAAAATCTGAAAAAAATTATCAAGCAGGAAAATTTTTCTCATACATAAGGATTACAGGACACTGGGCTGTAATTTCCATTACTAGGTCTAATTTTGTCAAGATAATTAGAGGCAAGGCTAAAATTTCTACAGGATCTACAGAAACTAGGTGTGTAAGTGCCCCTTGAAGACATTTTAGAAAATGCTTTAGTTAAGCTGATGTACATGGCTGAATCAGTCCTTGGACACTCAACATCTAAAGTAAAGGATTCGTGCAGAACAAAAAGTTAATGAATACCTGCTGTTTCCAAGGGAAGTTGTTGAGAAAGTCAATATTATTTCACAAGAAATCTATAAAACAAACTGACATGTACCATTGCAGCAGGCTATATTCATGCTTCAAGGGATATTTAATCTCAAATAGGGTCTTAGGAATTACCCACCAGAAAGGCTCCTTTCTTTTTGACAACTGTACAGGAACTCAGTCTCCTAGGCTTTGGTCCTTAGAGCTAGCCATGAAGGTGTAAAGCTGCTGGTGTGCATACTCTCACTATTTTCAAAGCTTCCAAGGAAACCCATTAAACTGTGTATGTAATCACCAGATGGCTTTACCAGTTTTGCCATTATATCCACCTTTGCTGATGCTTCTCGCAGACGGTGAAGGGGTTATACTTAGAAGAATGAACTCAATCAAAGCCATGTATGCTGTTCCAAACCATGCTGTGAAAGGCTAAAGACATCAGGGCTGCTCTGAAAGTAATGTCATTACATTGACCCACAATGTCAGAGGCAGATGTTGGTGGGACAGCAGTAGAGGTTGAATCTTTCCACCAATATTCTGTTACATGCTGTTGCCATGTGATGGATGGCAGCAGAGGGGCACTCTGACAAAATGGTGCCTGACACTGAAGGGGAAAAAACTTCACCCACTGACATTCAAACGACACTTGCTGAATGTGTATGGAGACCAAAGAGCAGAAGTGAGCACAGAGAGGTGGTGGGTGGTGCATTTCAGCAGCGGCAACAGAGGGTCGTCTCCACTGGTGCAGACCTTTATAAGCGCAGCATGCAGGCTGTTATTCATTGCTGGTAAAAATGCACAGGTAATTAATGGTGGTGACTATGTTGAAAAACAGTGTACTGCAGCTGAGAATTATCTCTGTCCAACAGTGTTACTGTGCTTTCTGTAACTGTTGTACCTTCCATGGAAATAAATAGCAGGCATTACTTTTAGAGCAGCCTACGTATTAGCCATATGGCAAAATGACATCCGTGGATAAAGATTGAAAACAGACAAACCTACGTTTCTTGATGAGATTATGCACGGTCATGAAATCATGGCCAAAAAGTTTTGTGATTCTTAGTAAATCAGATAAAAAAATGCTTGCTACAGAATGAAGAAAAAATGCCAAAATCTACAGGAAAGGCATTTTGTCCCACAACATCACATTATACTTTGTAGTACTGTTTGCACATAGTTCAGAAAGTTTCTTCTTTCATGCCAGAAGTGAGCTGCATAACGCTTTCATTTCCTAACGCAGAACTTCAAATGAATGAAGAGATACATTCTGTATCTCTTCACAAGCCTTTGAAAAAATTACCAGATGATTCCACCACCAGAACAGAACTCCAGAGAAAGGCCCACAGCAAAAAGCAAAGTGCTCCATGAGAAAGAAAGATTTATTTCCATTGCTAATTGTGTTTGACGTGTATAACGTTTTACTGGTTACAATTTTCAAAAAGCGGAATTTCAGCTTGGCTTTGATTTACACGTTTCAAGAAGTAGTCTGAAAAGCTCAAACTGCAAATGAATTTGTTATAGACTCAGTAAATTAATGTTCTGGCCATTTTTAAAGTAAAAGGTCATGGAAAGCTTTTTAATACTCTTCCAATTATATTGCAAACAAGCCAAATAAACTGTTGACCCCATAAAAATCATTGGTTTTCATACTCATTTATTCAGCCACATTCTTTTTTTCCACTAAATATGTTTTTCATATTCTGAAGCACTTTTCAGCATTTTTTTTCCCCCAAGAACCTCAAAGAAACAGTGTAGGAATTTAAAGAGTATTTAGTCTATGCATTTAGGGTAAAATTCTTTTCAATGCTCTTTTGCTCACTGGAAATTTTAAGTACGGGCATTGTGCCCAGTGTAACAACACATAAAACAGAAGTGCTTTTCCATTCACATTGGGCAGGAAGTTTCGTATTAAGCATTTCAATAATTGCACAAGAAATGTCTTATATATGCTGAAATATCCTTATGGCTTGATTTATACTGGAAAAATTAGCTGTCCCCTGGAGCAATAAATACCCCCAAAGTTAAATGCCATAAGAATTTTAAACCTCCACAAGAACAAGGGATCACAGATATTCTCTGTTTTACTTGGATCTCTAGATTTCGCTGTTTTCCTCTTCTCTTTTTGACTGTTTCAATCACAGAAGTTTGTGACACAGTCACCACTGCTGCAGTTAAGTATGATTGTGAAGCAATCAAGAGAAGTGATGAAGTAGGCTGGGTAGATGCAGATTAAATGCATAGGTGGCATAAGCTCAGTCCTCAGACATAAATCTGTGCACATGCCTGCTGATGTCACAATTTGGAGGTCAGGAGGGATGAAAAAAGAGCAGAACAGAGCAGAAATTGATTAACTGTGTCAGAATCTCCAGTGTCCTTAATATAAGAAGTCGAAGCATCAGTTTCTATCATTCCTGAGGAAATAATGATCCAGTATTACGGTAGGACAAATACATTAATTATTGTGGTAGGTAACCTGCAGCACCCAGCTACCACCATTGGGAAGGGCTGCATATCCAGCAAGCCCACGGCAAGAACAACAGAAATCATATGAATACCTCATACTACAGGGAATCAAGAGTCTTATATACAGCCTGAAAAGCAGGATTTAAATCTTGTATTTATATAAGTGAAGAGGAGTGGAATAGTGGTCCTGCAGAGGTCAGCAACAAAACCTTCACCTTCAGTCACCTGAGCACTTCAGAATGTGCCTCAACTTTCTCTACCTCATTCACATTTTAACCTTTATTTAGCTGTAACAAAACCCTATGAGATCTGGATCTAACACATTTTTTTTAAAGAGGTGCAAAAAAAGTAACATAGATACCTTCTGGTCTAGGCTTTGGTTTTTCCAATCCACCATCCTGCATTAGCTCAAATGCAAAGGACACATTGAGGACCTAGTAATATGATACAGGCAGTTGTTATTATGATCTATACACAGTATACTAAAAAAGGTCAAATCAAGATGCATTTAAAGCTGCAAATCTATATGCTGGGAAGGAAAAAAAAAAATCAAATCTGCATCTAGATCAATCTAAATCAATCTAGACAATCCTTTATTTTTTTTTTATTTTTTTTTTTTTTTTTTTTTTTTTTCCTGGGTGGTGAAAGTGTTTCAGAAATATAAAAGTAACTGAAAAGTAGCATGTGAACTAACATTACACGTACAAAAAACCGTCCTCCAAGTTTACAAACAGGAACATGATGGCTTACGTAGTGTGCATCTTAGATAGCTGAATTGCTTACAAAGCAACAGACATCAGGGTAATGGTTAGTCTTAAAATGATACATAGTACATACATGTCTTCAGGCTTTCAAAAAATATGAAACTTTTGAAACGTCAAATTCTTTGATGTTGGGCTCAAAAAAAATCAGTCCTGTCCTCAATTTGTGTATAATTTTAATGAACACTAAGGCTGGCTCAATGACAGCATCACACAATGGTTGCCAAAATCAGTTAATATTTGCTAGACACCCTATCATTAATATAATTTTCCCTTTTATTCTGAATAAGTATCAACACTGAGATTTTGAAAAATGCTTGGAAATGGTTACCAGTTCAGCCCTGTTCTCTTTGGTTTTCAGCTATCAACATTGAACCTATACAGAAAAGTCAGTATCATCCCTAAAACAATAGGTATGTTTGCTTAGATGGTTTTTGTTTTGTTTGTAAGAGAAAAATGAAATCTCATTACCTTTTGTTCAAAACTATCAGGAGTCAAGAAAAAGCTGTGGAGAGGAACAAAATAGCCTTCTAGGAGACCCATTAGCAGCACTAAGTACACACCATCTGCAAACTGTAAAAAAGACACTTCTCAGTATTTTTGCTGAATACATGCACAGAAGAAAGTTTCTGTAGAAGGCAATGGTCAGCAACTTTGACCTGTGTCTTTGTTTTCTATTCTGCTAGTTGCAGGAAATCAGAACAACCACTTTTCAGGCTATAAATTAGCACACGTTCTCTGAGCAGAGAAAAGCAGAACGAAGGTGCACTGAGGACTGCACTGAAGTTCAGTATGTTGAAGAAAATAAAGGAATAAAGAATTAAAATTTCCACATTACACATTCATCTCTATCTAAAAATTAGTAACATTCATGAGACTTTGCTCAAGGCATCTCACTCGTAACCCTGTGGCATTAAGTCTACCATAATCAAACTCTGAGATACCAGAAACAAACTATAACCTGAAGGGAGACTGTAAGCGAGGTGAGTGTCAGCCTCTTTTCTCAGATGACAAGCGATAAGTCACAAGGAAATGGCCCCAGGATGTGTTGGATAGATTTCAATTGGATAAAAGGAAGAACTTTTACACAGAAAGGATGGCCAGGTGTTGGAACAGGCTGCTCAGGGAAGTGGAGGAATCAGCTTCCCTGGAGGTTCTTATCAGGATGTGATGCTAAGGGACATGGTTTAGTGGTGGCATTTTTTGATCCTAAGGGCCCTTTCCAATGTAATTGATTCTATCATTCTATCTTCCTGAAGTAGCTTATTTTGTTTCAACTGATAGAAATAGAATCTCTCACCTTAGAGAGTACTGTTTTGGATAGATGTTTAAGGTGTTTCCAGGCATGTTTGAATAACACATTTTTTTCCCCAAAATTAAACAATGCAATATGCACGCACAGTAACACTTTTCTGAAAGCCCTTTCCATCTAAAACTCAATTTTACCTTTAAAAAACCTCTATCAGAGTGAAAGTTATTCAAATAAACCAGAGATTCTTAATAGCACGTATCAAGACATTAAATAAAGCATGTTGTGAAGACACCAGTTTTTTTCTAGTGTGGGTAGCCTCCTTCCTGTCTGACCTCCTGCTGCAGTTGTTCATATAAGGATTTTCTGATACCACAGAATAAAGCTTTTCTTTTAGCTTCTTTCTAGCCAATTTAGCATCTGAGAACAGGAAAAGAAGACCATGGACCACATTATTTCTGTGGCGCAATCAAGCCTGCAGCTCAACTGTACAGCTGCCTATACACTTGAGCAGCTTCTGTCTCAAGAATTCATCTTACTGAATAGAGCCATTGTAATCCCATGAGATTACTTGCTAGTGTAAAGGTAGGCAGGAAACAACTGTTCATCTTGAAACTGTTTCAAACCAAGCAGACGGAGCCTCTCCTGATGAAAACAGGCACAGGTTCTTCTTACAGCACTTAGCAGCACCCAAGAGGTAGCATCTGCTAACTAATTTTTATGCTAATTAAAGTACAAAACTGTTGCCCTTATGATTTCTCTGCTTAACTGGTGAGGGTTCTCCTCATATGAATATATCTAAAACTGGAGGGTTTCCCACTGAAATAACATCTCAGAGCCTGATCAATAGCAATTCAGTTGTATTTCTGCATAAAGCTGGGGGCATAGTGCATTACACAGCACCAAGTGACCCTCTCCTTCAACAAAAGCTATAAAATCCTACCTGGGTCTCCAGTTCAGTGACCTCCAAATTCAATTTGTTGAGATGCTTGTTCACAAATGTGATGAGAGTCTGAAACGTGAAAACAGTTTAGTGAAGGTCTATTCAGTGGGGCACCTGTTCCAGACGCAGAGTACGTAATCCCCTCAGAGCAGAACTTGTAAGAGCAAGGAGACTGCAGTACAATTATTTTTTTAGATTTTAAAACCGAATTATGAGATTTTTAATTTTTTTTTAATAAAGAATGATAAATTGAAATAAAATAAACACAATTATATGAATAAAAAAATCACTGCTACAATGCAACAGCTTCAAAAAAAAAAAATAAAAAATCTTGTGGCAGACTGTAGGGAAGTGGATGAATTGGACTTCACTCAAATCTGACAAGAGCCCAAATCCTCCAGGTCAGGCTACTGGCAGCTGTAAACTGCATAGCTTTTGGTGTCAGTAAACTCGATCAACCCAGCTGGGTTTTAACCAACACGCACTTTGTGAGAATTTCTTTTTGATGGAAACTTTGAGAACTTCATCTTTTTTTGCGTTCCAAATTTAAGTTCATGTTGCTAAATACTATCAAAAAGAAACATTATAGTAATGAATTTCTATTTTTGTTTTCAGCAGAAAGTTTAATTGTATTTAATGCATGCAAATGATGTCTATTTTATATTATATACATACGCACACACTACATAAACACACACAAGCATGTAGACACATGCTGTACTTATTAAAATAGAATCCTTCCAACCTTCTTTACTACGCTGAGCTTGTCTGGAGCATGGTCAAATAGCGTGTCAAATGCATCTCTTTCTGAAAAACATTCAGAGATGTTAATACACTTCGAAGCACTTGTCCAAATACATTAAACACTTGATAAACACTTGATTAAGCACACACTTGTTTAAGACAACAGAATCAATAAAATGTTTCAATACAGTCTCTTTGTATTCCAAGTACTAAATATTTTGCATATTTCTCTCTTGCTTCAGGCTGCTTGTAATTTATTCTCTATTATTTAGAGAAAGCACTATTTTCAAGTACAATTTGGGCTGCTTAATAACCCTGTTTCTCAAAAAATGAGCAGAGTAGAATATTTATGCATTGAACTTTACACAGGGAGCAGGGAGCTAAAGTAACCAACTTATTTTGTTCAGAAGAATATGACTTTACATCTGGAGTTACTACAGAGGAAAATTTTCCCTGGGGCCACAATATGCATATATCGCTCAGCTGACTGCTGTGTTATTAACCACCTCAGGCAAGCTTACAACTACACAGCTGTAAAGAACTCTTTTGCATAGATGTTGTTGGACCATTCTGATATGCAATTTAGGACATGGTTAGCAGGACAGGCAACCTAAAGTAAAATGCCTACAGCAGTACGGTGGTTACCTTCTGAAGGAAAAAAAAAAGAAAAAAAGAAGAAGAGCAATTGCCATTTGGACAACACAAGTGATAGAGAATGACAAAAAATTGCATTTGTATTCCTCAAAAAAATGCTAAGAGTAAATCTAAAGGCATTCGTAGAAGGCAGACTATAGGAAGTAAGGCTGCTCTCAGATATCATGGGAAAATGTCATGCCTCCAGTCTTTAACTCAGCAATAAGGCAACGACTGAGACAATATAAGAAATAAATGTTGAATTCTTGGTGGGTGTCCATCTATGCTCCTCAGATGATTGTGTTGTGCTGGCCAGGCATTTGGCCAGTCTCAGTACCAACCATGAGACTTAACTGGCACAGAAATACGCTGAAGAATGACCCTAAGTCATTTAAGAGTTAAGTAGGTAATGGATACAAGAATGCCAACATGTTCACCAGTGAGTTTATCGTAAGATATCATTTCATATTATGCTGGGAGATTATGATCATTAATATTATTTCAATAATGTTCTGGAGGCTAAACCGTAAAGCATCTGCAAACTAGCACGAGCTGAGAAGTACTGAAATGAGTTTTAAAGATGGTCACATTGATTTTAATGCTTTTCTCCCTTTGTTAACTGTCAGAACAGTCTGTGGCAGACATATTCATATCTGAATCAGATCAATTAGAAATCCTCTACTTCCTTGCAGATTAATCAATTCCATTCATTCCATCCACTCATTCCAGAACTGATGTATTCTTTGGATGACTTAAGAAGATAACAATCATATGAACTTACCATGTCTTCCTGAAAATGCCCTGTGGAAAACAAAACAAAACAAAACAAAAAAAAGCAGTTAAATATGTAATCCACTTGCAGACACTGTACTGCAAAATAAAACAGTGCATGTGGTCAGATCTTCAGCTTGGTGAAAACTGGAGGAAATTCATGGGATTAAGAAAATCCTCATCAAGTTATCCCAGCTGAGACTTTGGATTAGTCTGGAGTAAATCAGCATAATATCTCCTGGATTCACAGAGTCTCATAGGAAGGCCAGTTCTCAGATTTCCAACTGCTGAGCGACCAAATCAACATAACTTGCCTCAGTAAAGACAACATTTTCATGTTGATTTGGTGAAAAACTTTCCCTTTGCCTTAAATGCATTTATCACAACACCTGCAATACAATTCCAGCCAGGACAGTGCTCGGACTGCATTCTTAATAACTACAGCATTTTGCTTCAGTGGAACTCTCACATAAATATTGTGCATATATAAATCTAAAGTTTAATAAAAAGTCATTAGTCTGAATTCTCTCCAATCTATTAGGAACTTGGATATTCTTCTACTATTTTCTGTTGGTTTGGAATAACTTTTCTGCTATGAATTGCTTGGTGAGATGACACATAACAGAGACTAACACTATCATTTTTCACATCCCTGAAGTCCAAGTGGCTCAAAAAATAAAAGCCATATTGCATTCCAAAGAATCTAGTTCTCCTGTATCAAATAAATACCAATATGAAAGAATGAGACATATTTTTGTATGTTTCAAGGCCTTTTGAATACAATAATAAGTAAGAAAAACAATAACTATGGAAGTAAATAGCAATAAATAGAAAATACATAAATTTTGAATATCTTCACCCTTCTCTATTATCTTGGTCTCCTGCTTTTAGTTCCCCAGCTCTGTGTTTCCACACCCTTTTGTATTTTTAGATGCATGTCTGCAGCCCTTGCAAAGGCTAAAGTACAATTACTGGCTGATGCATCATCTTCCCTGGACCCCAATACCAAAATCTAAATATCAGCAAATGCTTGAATTTCTGAGAAGCATCTGCGTTCAATTACTGAACTGCTGGCAAAAGCAATGTTGACATACTCGGTGTTACCAGTTATTTCCTCTTGGACTTGTCGAGACTGGAGGATTCCTTCTCGTTTCTGGAAGAAATAAAGAAGGACATCTTAATGGTTAGGGTACAGTAAAAATGTAGTTGTGATCTACAAGTGCCATCAGATAAGAAATCTACAAAATAAGAACCGCTTTTTTTTTAAAAGCAAACTTGCAGTAATATATTATTTCACCTTGGAATTATTTCAGAAAACTCTTGTACAGTAACAAGAAACTTGAAACTCCACCTGTAGAAGGAAGTATTTCTTCTCTTCATTGTTCTTAACTCACTTTTCTTTTAAGGGCCCCAATTCAGCGAGGTATTTGAAACACTTAAGCGCATATGTAAGTACTTCAGTAGATTTATTTCTTAGTGAGTTGAATTAAACCTTGTATTTCAAGGAATACTTTGGCAGATGGTGCCCATGCTTCGTCTTTGGTAAAATCTTGCTCTTAAGCTACCTGTTCTTTCTGCCTTGCTCATGCACTTCTTTTTTTTCACCTTCGTCTTTTCTTTTCCTGACTACTTTCCACACAAAGGGCTCTATTTGCTTGTGATGGAAAGCCAAAATGGAGGATAATCCATTTACAGTGTGCTCCAGAACCTACTCATCATGGTGTTAACATATGCTTTAGCTCCAATGCTCTTCTGATGTGAGAAGCCCTTCATATGTGGTATTTAGAATCCCGTGTCTAGAAGCTGTGCACAAAATGGCAGAAGCCAACTCAAATGGTAGCAATTTGAGTCAGTTGGAAAATGAAGTAGTTGAAAAAATTTCACACTGTTTCCAGGATGCTGACTACAGTCATCTGGTAGTGGCATACATACCACACATATGTTTTGCTTCTCTTTGTGTTCTTTCTGTTAATTCTATTCACTGAAATTAGCAAAATTTTGCAATACAGAAAGAAAAGCCAGGCCATTGCTGACGACTGCATGTAAAGTCTAGACATTAGGCAATTATTCATGATTCTTCACTCCTTGCCATACAAGGAAATAAGAAAAATAAATTTATGCTGGTCCCAGACTTGTCTTCTATGTGGAAAAAAGGAGAATAACAATTTGGAAAAATCCTTCATGGCATGTCAACTGGAGCTATTGCTCTTCCTTGCTTTGGAAAAGATAATACACGCCCCACCAGAGGCAGCCCTGGGTTAATGACGTGCTGAGGATTTGGCCGGGTTCGCAAGAAAGCCGCACATAGCAAACTCTTGGTCTTCAGACAGGTACTTCAAATAACCTCATTTGTCCTTCTAGATAGGTGATGTAGTTTCAGGGGGTTTCCTTCACCTTTTTTTAAGCTCCGCTACTAAACCTCTTGCATATGGTTAAAACACTTTTAAGGAGGAGCTTTAAACATAAAAACAGAGTGGAGTCCAGTGTATTACAGACTGAAAGAGGAGACACAGATCAGCTGCTGAGATTCCTATCCCTTCCATCATGTATCTTGAAAGTCTGAAGAAAAACTGCATCATCTAGGACTACACTCACCTCCAGGCTGTGCAGAGAATAAGCATCTGAAGTCAAAGTTACAATCTAGCTCAAATTAGAATTACATTCCGGTTTGTGTTTTTTTTCTCCATTAATGCAGAGCGAAAGGCATTTTTCTATTTCCTCTTGATGATGATTCTGATGTGCCAATGATGTGTTTTGGAGCAAAAGCCCCATCATTCTACCTTCCTGTGACTAAGTACCACAGTAATGGCAACTGTACTTCTCAGTGCCCTGTCTGCTTATACAAGGAAGAAAATGGCTTCTAATACTTTGCTTTCCCTCTGCAAATGTGCAACATGACCTAAAGCCTTTTTTAATATTAATAGAAAACATATTTCACTTTTTGATAACTAGTGTTAATATGAATAAGAATTCTGCATTCTGATTTTATTGTTGATAAAAAAGTAAAAATAATTACATTATTGGAGTTTCCAGGTTGCCCAAATATGAGATGCATCTGTTGGATACTTGAAAAACTTTATTTGGATAGGCTTAGCATTTTGCTCCCTCCCAGCTGAAAGACTCCACTAAAGGCCAAGACCTTCCTACTTATGTATTGTCTGAATTTGGTAGCTGAATGTAGAGCAAACAAATAAAAAATACCTGAAAGCTAGGTAAGAAATGGAAAGGGTCTCTTCATTTGCCTTTGCATCAGCTGTACATAATCAGTTTTCTATAAGCAATGGCTAGCTGCTTTGTTGCCCCGACAGCTCTACAAATGCATTCTTACAATCTCTCACTCACACAATCTGTCATTCAACCATTGAAGGATGGCATAACTAATTAACTAAAGAAAAGTGAAAAAAAAAAAGCAGAAAGATCCAGCTCTCCACAAATTCTCTCAATTGTTTCAGCAGACAAGATCAAACAAAGTCTGGGCTTTGTTCAGAGTTACTCATTCTATCAGTCTAGAAGGAAAGGAAAGCAATATAACAAAATAGCTACAAAAGATCCAAGTACCAATTTTTCACAAATCAGCTTAGCACACGTATTTCATAACAGTCTCATTGCTAACAGTTTTTTTTAAAGAACAGCCAAAGGAAACAGAAGCTTTCGTAAGAACTGTGCTGATTACCTGTTGGATATGGGCAGAGTTTTTGTTTCAGAAATATCTTTCTACTTCACTAACCTACATCCAGCCAACACAACCCTCACATTTGGTGCATTTCTACACCTAATGAAATACTAACTGAATTAAGGTAGTCTTCCTTTTTTTCTCCTACTCCCTTTATCAATTGTGTACAGTTGAATTTAAAATCAGCTAACAGAGTCTGCTGAGCTTCCTTAGGCACGACCTTACTTTACAGGATGTATGAGGGTTTAGAACATCAAGCATACAAGCCTGAACATCAAATTATGCCTTATGTTCTGCTGATTGCTGATTAAAATTTTCATTGAGTTCATGGTGATGAAAAATACAGAACCAATCCCAAAGGATATGAAAGGTGGACTTAAAAAAATAAAAAACCACCCTCCATAAAATAGAAATGAAAAACGTCTCGAAGAAAAACAAGTAAGAATAATGGCCACCACCCTCTGTTAATAGGAATTAACACAGCCTTGGAGTTCAATTAGCTGGCTTTCATCAAGGACTGGTTCTGCAGCGAGAAATCTTCAGCAGCATAACTTATTTTGGTGCAACTGCTCCAAGTTATTTTGGTGCAACTGCTCTCTCTGCAATCTGCTGGCGCCTGAGCTACTGCTGTGTAGCTAAGAGGCAAAGCACTCAGCCAGATTCTCCCACTACTTATTGTTTTTAAATTGGTTTATCTCTACTGACTTCAGTGGATTTGCTGTTGAACTACATTAGCCTATTAAACAAGAGGAGAATTATGTCCATCGATTTCAATGGGAGTTTGGTCTGGACATACAGAGTGACAACAGAATGCAAGATCTGGTTCTTTATTTAAGGACTACAATGTTCTTTTTTAGTTTCTTATCCCAAAGATGCCCTGGCTGCTACACTTTTGGTGCCGTAAGTTGTTTTTACTAGAACTCTGAGATAAACCAGGATGATAAATATGTTTATAATATTTAAAGGAAAATGTTTGAGAACATTCCTCTGAAGCCTCAGATGCATAACTGTGTATTTCCTGGGCTTCACTGCCATCCACTGAGGAGAAACCCAACAAGTAGAATCTGACAGTCAGTGAATGCATCGCTGATCATCTATCAGAAATTCTCCTTCAGATTCCCCCCTAAATTACAAAATCTGTCTGATGTGAATCCTGAAAAAAGAGGAGTAACTTTCTCAAATTTGACACTTATTTTCAGAAAGCAACACTTGAGAAACAGCGCACTGCAGCTGATTGTTCAGCATTACATTAGTTAAAACACAAATAGTGACAGTTATGGCGTGAAAAGCAAAGACAAAGTTAGCTGGAGGAAAAGAAAAGCAAATTAAACGGGAAGAGGCCAAACAAGATAGAGCAAGCACAAGCCCAACTGAAACCAAAATAGTAAACAGAATAACATAAGGAGTTTGGATGGATGTGGCTCTAATAAGAAGACTGACTGACACAAAAGATTTAGTTGATGGGGTTTTTTTGCATGCTTATGAGAAAGCCAAGACTGTAATCAGACTAAATTAGCATGCACAATGCTGAAAAAGAATATTTAGTCACCTCACATGAATCTAAATGTAATAAACAGTGACAATTCATCATTCAGCGCCAAGAAAGATTTGAATCTCTACACAAGTGAGAATATTGCCAAAAAATGGAAAAAATAGATATTCAAGAGATCATATTGTGTGATAAGTAAATATATTCCAACAATAAGAACACTTCATGTATTTTTAATGTCAGAGCCTGGCCACTTCAAAACATGACATTCTGAGCCACAATTCAATCTGGGAAAGCACTTCTGCCTTTCTGTGGTTGAAGCAATGTCAGCAGGGAAGATGCACGTGTGATTCTTGTCAGCCAAAGAGATATACACATGTATGCCCAAACAGAAACTCTAGATGTCTTTTTCGAAGGAAAAACCCCTTATTCTATTTCCCAATGCTGCGAGGAGCTGTTTAACACCTCTCTTACCTGCACAACAACAACCTGAATGGACACATGATCTGGAAGTCTGATTGGTGCTCGAAAGTACTGCGATAACGCAACCAGAAGATGAAGTATTGCGACCAGACTTTTAGCATGAACAGCTGAAATAGATATTAAAAGCACAAGTTACAAAATGCAACGTTACTAGAGCATGCATTTTTACTGTTTAGGATGCAGGGATTATAGGACTCTCTTCCACTTCCCACCTGGAGCCAGGGGCACTTTTAAGGAAAGTTTCCTTTATTTTCCTCCTGCTCAAAAAGTCATGTGAATGCAACCCAGTCAGTAATATTTGTCAGCACCAAAGCATCAGTTTTTGCAACATGTCTGGATGCCATAGACTAGTGTAGACGGAAATCTAAAGCTAATCCAAAAGCCAGATTTCATGTACGACAGCTTCAGTGATGCCTACACGATCTCCTCGACTTTCCTTTTATTCCCTTTACTTCAATAAGGATTTATGGACTATCAGAAAGATATTTTTGTATTCATAACATGCACTTATTCATTTGTAAGTGTCACAAAGTCCGCAGGATAATAAACGAGCCTATTTTGGCAGAAGCCCTAAGCAATAACTTACTAAACTCAATGACTCAAACATTCCTCCATGAAGTTGTTACAGTTCTTGTTATTTGAAGCTTTTTTCACAGCAGGTTTCATATGGGTAGTTAACACTAACATGACTTACAAGATATCAATAATTGTACTGTAGGAAATTTTTAATCAGGTATCAATCCACTGACATCAAAATGAATCTTAATTCTAATTCTTATTACTCTTTCACACGCCTCTTTTTTTTTTTTTTTTGCACTCATAGTCTTCCCCAAAATAGTAGTCCAAAACAACTTTTGATAGCTACAGTACAGTAAACTTAACTATTTTATATATGAACTAACCAATAACTACTACCTTACTTCATTTTAAGGTAATTTTAAGGTAATCAAATTCACTCACATACTATTCATTATCTTCCAGCACAAGCCTCAATTATGCAGCAGAGATTTCACTACCCACCATACATATAAAATGTGATATCACTGTCAAATTCTGCTGGGGTTCCAGTGGTAAGGGATGAAGTGCTTTAGCAGAATGCTACAAGATGTCTGCCTGCCTAGCATCAATGTGTGCTGCAGCTGGCTACAGCTGCTGCAGTCTATCTTCAGCTCTAAAACACATGTAAAACTTCAGTTTAAAACTGGAAGTTAAATCAGCAGGCTGTTCCAAACACCCTGTATCCAGCTGTATAACAGAAAATGGAAAAAAAAAAAAAAAAAAAAAAAGCCCCAAACCAGAGAGAAAGGCTAGACAGAGAAGAGAAGAGGACAGGAAACTCAGGGAGAAGATACAAAGGAGAAAGTCAAATGTTCACTCCTCCATCCTGGAGCCCCTGGAGTTGTAACTAGAATATGTGACACAAAACAGTTCAGCTCAAGACAAGTATTGGAAACAGCTACATGCTGATCCAGGTGTTTACTAGGATGAAAACTTTAAAAAGATTAAGGGGCTTAATTTTCCAATAACCTGCTTTTTGCAGCACATATGTATAGTGTTAATCATTTCTATGTAGGTACTCCTAAGTTCATTTCAAATACAACAGAACAGGAATGGTATAGCACTAATATAATGAGGCAGTAGTATAGTAGTAGTATAGTAGTAGTATAGTGAGCACTAATATAGAAGAGAGTTTTGTAATCAAAAGCAGTAGCTCAGATTTTGTCCTCAACAACCAAAAATATCAATATATAAGCTGTACATCTTATACAAATGCAGTAGACCTGGATCTACCTCTTCCTCAGCACTCATGCATTTACCTGCCCCTTTCAAGAAACCAAGTTAGTAACAGAAAACTTAAGGTGGTATGCAGATGGAGTTAAGAGCAGAAATAAGGTATTTCCCCTAAAGAAAGTTTAAACTGGAGGCTGAGCAGAAGGAAAGAGAGCAGGGTGTACTGCATGTGTTCTCTCTTTCTCTGACCTCCTACTGAAGAGTAGCTCCTACCATAAATACCAGGTTTCAGCTTTCTTTTAGCATTAGGTATTTAAGAATTCCAGATAGCAACTACAAACTCTCAGCTGTCGACTAATGGGAACAGCACAGAAAACAAACAACTTACAGTCAACATTCCACTTAATGCTTCTTGGCGGGAGCTTAAGCGTTTCATTGATCTTCTCAAGGACTGTCTGTAGCTTCTGTTTCTGAGCAATTTCAGACTGAGTAACTTCAGCAACATTCAGCTTCTCACTTTCAAGCTTCTCTAAAGTGAAGAAAAAAGAGCCAGTGAACTCCACATCGCATGCAGCCAGACAAATGTTCAACAGGTATCAGACTTCGTAGTTCAAGAATGATTTGCTTTGGTGTACAGAACCACTCCCCTCTGCCTTTCTGAACTTGTAAAGATAACCACAACAACAGGCTAATAAGAATTTGTTGCAAATTCCATCAGATTGAGAGGTAAAACTTGTTACTTCAATTGCTACAGAATAGAGAGTAATCTGCATGTAACTGGCTTGTACAGCAGACCAGCACACCTAGGAGAGATAGACACCAACTTCAAGACTAGTTTCATCACTGAAAACCTCGTGGCTTCTCCCTCAGATTCAAGAGGTTTAAAAATTTTCCTGCCCAGATGTGATAAAAGTGAAGTGGCATCATATTCACTGAGGTGGAAGATGCACCCAATAAATGTGAGCAAGTATTTCTGGAGGCATGAAATCAACAAAAACATTGGGCAATTTATTTCCGTGAAATCACAGCCCTTTGAAATTTGCACTAGATTTTAAATTATCTTATGACTTTGTAAATAATCGGTACAGATTGCTTGGCTTATATCAACTCAGTATAGTTTGCTTTAAACAGATTTAAGCAAGATCAATTTTAGTCTGGATAAAAGTCTGATGTGAACTGGATCTACACAGTAGTGTGTAATGGTTTAGATAGATCAATTCAAAAGTAGTATCTCCATTAAACTTCTGAAAGTGTGAGCATGAAATTAACTGAAGACAGATGTGCAAAGAGGAAATGCATAACTCATTTATACGCAGAGAAGAAAAAAATGTATGGGATGTTTGCCCTGTCTCAGGAGAACCAGCACACTGCTCCATGGATTTAGCAGAGACATAGGAAGAGAAACAACCTCCATTATTATTGCTATAAAAGATAACACTAATGTTCTGTAAAACTGCCAGGAACCTCACAGCCATTAATTATAAAGTGAAGAAAATTCAGCAATAAAAGCTTCCTTATAACATCAGAGACAGAATGCTTGATCACCTATCAATTTTCTTTTGCAAAAGAATATGTTATCAAGTTTGGTAAAAGCTGGTCTTGCTCTCAGCTGAAGTCAATTGCATATCTTCCCAAATACAGTGAGTCTACCAGCTTATGAGTTCTGCCCGAAAAGTTGCTATCTCCATGAGTTTCTCATGCCTCCACAGGAATCAGTCTGAGCATAGTCTCACAAAATCAGAATCTCAGAACAGACGATCCACAAGGAACCAAAGATAATAGAAAAGATTCCACTGAAATCAATAAATATCAGATCACTATACGCATATTTAGACTCAGTCTGTATCTGCTTTGCATTTTTTGGGGTTTGGGTGAAGTCACTGGAGGCCTGCCCATAAGAATCAAGTTGCTCAATCTGGGTCATATCCATTCCACCACAATATATTCAATAGCTTAACCATTCAAAGAAGGGAATAGTCTGTGTACACTTTATTAGAAGTGCTCACATAATGTTTCAGGATTCATTTAAGATACTGAAAAGAAATTTACTGGAGATTTTACGAGCTGTAATAACTAAGAAAGTGGCTTCCAAGCCAACAGTTAAAAAAGACATGCCAGCTCTGTATTAGCAGTCTCTTTTCTCTATCTGTTTCTCAGCTGAAGTTCAGTTTGCAGTCCACCGGGTATCATTACCTCAGTAACATTAAGAGCCAGACATCAAATCAGAAAGAAATTCCAGCTTTCCAGAGGAACTCCAAGATGTGACTAAACTACAGCATGGAACCAGCCCAGATTAAAAACATCCACCATTGTACTGAAAATACCCTTGCTTTTAAACTTACTTTCCACTTCTAACACTGTTAAGTTTGTACAGCACATATGCAGATAATAAATTCAATTGGAGTGAATTCTGCTGCCAAGACAAGAAACCCAGCACCCTCCAGCACCCCAGGTAGACTTTATGCTGTTCTCATCAACTACAGAGCACCATACATTGCACTGTAGCTATGAGGACTGTGCATACAGGCTATCACTCAAGGGTCTCATAATACAATGCTATTTTTATATCACTTAGTGGCATAAATGTAAGATGACACCAAGGCTCCCAAGTAGGAACAAGTGAACCACTTACTGAGTGACCCAACATGTGTACATAAATTTTTTCTTACCAAATAATTTCTGCAGTACTTGTCCATCGTACAGGTCTTCAGCCAAGTCTTTCACAATAATCCTCTCTCCTACCAACACATCATTAATCCAGTCTATTAATACCTATATGGGAAACACAAATTTGGGCAGAATTACACACTATTCATTTGCAATTTAAAACATATGTCATTTTGTACAATGTTGAAAATACCGAGCAGAAAGAATACCGAAGCTGCAATGCTTGAATTTCAAGTGCAGTCAGTCTGAAATACTATAGATGAAAACAGGAAGGATTCAGGAAGCACGTCTAAGGTGACTGAGTTAATGCACCACAAGGTCTGGACAAACAGACAACTGACATATTGCTTTCTGAAGTGAAGTCTGTCATTTGATTTCAGTAGTATCGTAACATTTTTGTCATGAATTAAAAGGTGTTGAAGTTGATTCTAATGAAGCTTCCTGCTGAAATTCTTATCCTAAGAATCACAAAGACTATGAGGGAAGTCAGTATGATTTTACACTGAGAGGGTGGGATAGGACCAAGAATCGGGACTCAGGAGTTTAATCCAAATTGTTAAACTCTGTGCCACACCTATAGCAAAAATTAACCTGTCTGGTTCATGCATGTATGCACCATGTGGTTTTGCTTAATTAATATATAAACAGAGCTTTGAAGCTTTCAAATGAAAGATGCAGGAGTAGCATTAAAAATAGTTTCATTTTCTTGAAAGTGTTTGCGTGCTTTTCATTACCTTCATTAGTTCCTGTAATTTTGGGTCATTTCTTGAATTTGGATCGACCATTGTTCGGACCTCATTTTCCTCTGGAAGGTTTAAAAGAAAGACATCAGAAACAATTACAGGCATGACACTTTATTTTACATTAAGCTTCTATGTTGAGATGTAAAATCGTTGTGAATTACCTAGCATAGTGTCCTCAGGGTCTAGTTCGAATGGAATCGGACTGAGAGGCAAGTTAATAGCATTCATTCCTTCTTCCTGTAGTTCAGATACTAGGAAATAAAAAAAGAAGAGCTTGGTCAAATTCAATTCAATTTTACTTGCTATTTCACTCTTGCTAAAAGTAGTATTAATTGTATTAATTTCCTTATGAGAACATGAGTCTATTAGATAAGCCACTGGGTGTAATTACAGCAATAAAGTATAGCTAACAAAAATGGGAAGCACAGCCAACAAATCTTCACTCATTTGAGCAGCGCAGCTAATGGTAGTGGAATCAATGTAATTTCCTCAAAGCTTTTTCAGGATAAGGCCTGTTGTCCTCAAATTTTAAGAGGCACACTCACATTTTAATGGTCCCAACACTTTAAAACTAATGAACCATTTCACCCAAGGGAAATGATCACTGCTGTCAGTTATGTCACCATTGCTCTGGAGATGCTTCAAATTTAGCTCCTTTAGAATAGCCAGGCCATATATCCATACAGGAGCTGCCAGACCAATTAAATGTTTAGGACTGAAGGTACAGTGGCAGCACAGTGCTCCTTACATTGCTCAGGTCAGAAACCAGCTGGAGCAGGCTGCAGGATGCTTCTGGCCTGTGTCCTTGGGCTTTGTTTTGCAGAAACCACAGCAAGCAGGATACAAGAGGAAGATAACGAACCCTCAATAGTACTACCTTGAATGTGGAGACCGGATATTGGTTGGAAAAGAAGCTGGACATAGTAATAAGAAAGTAAATAAAAAACTTGTATTTTGGACAATTCCACAATTGTCAGAAATAACAGATGATCCAAAAAACCCACCTCATAAATAAATGGCTTAGAAGTTGGTGTGAACACAGAAATTCTGTTTTTTTTTTGACCATGGGGCAACCTACTCGGCACCTGGCATGATGGCTGCAGATGGAAGTAGCCTGTCTCCAAGGGGTAAGAGGATCTTAGCCGAGGAACTGGCAGGACTCATTGAAAGGTCTTTAAACTAGGTATGAAGGGGGAAGGGAACAAAACAAGGGCCGCTGGGGTTGAGCGGGTCGTCCGAGGGCTTGTACCAAACTTGATGGGTGAAGACAGTGGAGTACAAAGGGATGGACTGGGGCAGGGGGATGTTGGGGATGCTACAGTTCTAGGGGATTCGAGATCCTGTATAAAGGCAGTGAGATGGAAAGCCCAGCTGAAGCGCCTTTATACCAAAGCACACAGACTGAGAAATAAGCAGGATGAGTTGGAAACCGTGATGCGCTTGGAAAGTTATGACCTCATTGCTATCACGGAAACATGGTGGGATCACTTCCATAACTGGAATACCACCACTGAGGGCTATTGGCTCTTTAGAAGGGATAGGTGAAGTAGGAAGGGTGGGGGAGTTGCCCTCTACGTCAAAGACTGGATAGACTGTGAGGAGCTCCCTCTGAGAAACAGTCAGGAACAGGTTGAAAGCTTGTGAGTTAGAATTAGTGATGAGACTAACAAAGGCCAGCTGGTGATAGGCGTATACGACAGGCCACCTGATCAAGGGGAGACTGTTGATGAGGCTTTCTTGCTTCAGATGTGGAAGGCAACGTGCTCACAGGCCCTTTTGGCAACCATCCTAGTATCTGTTGGAAAGACCACACAGTGAGCTGCAAGAGGTCCAGGAGGCTCCTGGAATGCACTGATGATAACTTTCTGGTCCAGGTGTTGGACAGACCAACCAGAGGTGATGCAGTGCTGGATCTGCTGCTCACAAATGCAGAGATCATTAAAGCTTAACGGTTGGAGGCAGCCTGGACTGAAGTGACAACATCTTGGTCAAGTTCATGATCTCGAGGGATGTGGGCCTGGCAATGGGTGGTGTCAGGACCCTGAACTTTGGAAGAGCGAACTTTAAGCTGTTCAATGGACTGTTGGCCAAGATCCCCTGGGATGCTGTCTTTAAAAACAAAGATGTTCAGGAGAGCTGGCTACTCTTCAAGGATGCCCTCCAGAGAGCACAAGAGCTCTCCGTCCCTCTGAATAAGCAAGCAGGCAGAGGAGGTAGGAAACTGGCATGGCTCTGTAAGGACCTGCTGCAGCTGAGGGCGAAGAAAGGTGCATACAAGCTCTGCAAACAAGACCGTGTCACCTGGGAAGAACACAGGGACGTCATTCGGACTTGCAGACGTGGGATCAGGAAAGCCAAGATGCAGGTGGAACTGAGCTTGCCGAGGGATGTGAAAAACAATAGGAAGACATTCTACAGGTACATTGGCTAGAAGAGACAGGCCAAAGCGAGTGTACCTCCTTTGGTAAATGTAAAAAAAGAACTGTCTTCAACAGACAAAAAGAAGGCTGAGGTACTGAATGAGTTCTTTGCCTCGGTCTTCACTGGCAGCCAGGATTCTAGCATTTCTCAAGTCCCTGAGCCCTGCATCCCTAAACCTCTAGCTGTGGACCGGGGTGGTAAATCCCCCCCCACTGTGAGGACAGAATAGGTCTGAGACTGCCTCATGAGACTGAATGTGTACAAGTCTATGGGGCCAGATGGATGCATCCCAGGGTTCTGAAGGAGCTGGCTGATGTGGTTGCTGAGCTGCTCTCCATCATATTGAAAAGTCATGGCTGTCAAGTGAGGTCCCAGATGACTGGAGGAAGGGTCACATCATTGCCATTTACAAAAAAGGGAGCAAGGAGGACCCTGGGAACTACAGGCCAGTGAGTCTCACCTCTGTGCCTGGGAAGATCATGGAACAAATCTTAATGGACAACATGCTTGATGACATGAGGGATGAGCATGTGATTCCAAGACAGCCAGCACAGCTTTACCAGGGGAAGGTCATGCTTAATCAATCTAGTGGCCTTCTATGATGGAGTGACGGCATTGGCGGATAACGGAAAGGTGACCGATGTCATTTACCTGGACTTGAGAAAGGCCTGTGACATGGTCCCCCACCACACCCTTATCTCCAAATTGGAGGGATGTGGATTTGATGGGTGGACCACTCAATGGATAAGAAATTGGTTGAAAGGCTGCAGACAGAGGGTGGTCATCAATGGCTCTGTGTCCAGGTGGAGGCTGGTAACAATTGGTGTCCCCAGGGGTCTGTCTTGGGACCGGTGCTCTTAACAACTTCATCAGTGGCATCGATGGAATTGAGTGCACCCTCAGCAATTTGCTGACGACACCAAGCTGAGTGGTGTGGTTGGCAAGGTGGAAGGAAGGGATGCCATTTCAGAAGGACCTCAACAGACTTGAAAGGTGAGCCTGAGTGAACCTAATGAGATTCAACACCGCAAAGTATAAGGTTTTGCACTTGGGTAGGAGGAATCCCAGGTATCTATAAAAACTAGAAAGAGCAGTCCTTGAGAGCAGCCTTGCAGAGAAAGACCTGGGGGTCCTGATGGATGAAAAGCTTAACATGAGCCAGCAGTGTGCTCTTGGGGCTTGGAAGGCAAATGGTATCCTGGGCTCCATCAGAAGAGGGGTGGCCAGCAGGGACAGGGAGGTGATTGTCCCCCTCTACTCTGCTCTTGTGAAGCCCCATCCGGAGTACTGTGTCCAGGTCTGGAGCCCCCAGTGCAGGAAAGACTGGGAGCTGTTGGAGAGGGTCCAGAGGAAGGCCAGGAAGATGATCAGGGGAATGGAGCACACCCCCTATGAAGACAGGCTGAAGGAGCCGGGCTTGTTCAGCCTGGAGAAAAGAAGGCTGCAGTGTGACCTCACTGCAGCCTTTCAGTACCTAAAAGAAGCCTACAAACAAGAGGGAAGTCAACTCTTTGAAAGCGTAGATAACAGCAGGACAAGGGGAAATGGTATTAAGTTGAGGGAGGGAAGATTTAGGTAGGATGTCAGGGGGAAGTTCTTTACTGTGAGAGTAGTGAGTGCTGGAACAGGATCCCTGGAGGTGTTTAAGGCCAGGTTGGATGGGGTCCTGGGCAGCCTGGTCTGGTATTAAATGGGGAGGTTGGTGGCCCTGCATGTGGCAGGGGGGTTGGAGATTCATGATCCTTGAGGTTCCTTCCAACCCTGGCCATTCTGTGATTCTGTAATGCTGCAAAAATCAATGCCTCTGTGATGCATGCTCTGAAGACATAGGAACAGAGAGATCCAGAGAAGTAATAACATAATCTTACAACTAGTTCATTACTGTACTCACTCCAGATGTGGTGAAGTCTGGAACAATCACATTTATGTCTCTAGGTGACCCAAACTCTAATGGGCTTGCCCTCAGAACAGAAGATAATAAATACAAACAAGCCAGAACAGTAATCATACAGCTATGGGAGGATATACAGCATCATGCAAGGAGGGCACCCACTTTGGTGATCGGACAAGTTTGCATCTGCTTTGTAATCAAGGACTCAGAGCAATTTGATTTACGAAACCAGGAAAGAGGCTCACTGTCTTCTGAATGACATGGAACTCATGTTCCTTTGAACATTCATTTTCCAGGCTACTGCTACTCAATAGAAATGGTTGCTAGCCCACCGTCTCAATCTGAGGTTAAAGTGCAGTAAATTTACCATCCTACATAAGTACTGGAGATTTGGGTGTCTGCAGTACACTGCCTAGCACGAAATAAAACACAAGACTAATCTGCAGCTGCATGATCATCATCTAACATTTACCACCTGAAGCTGGCAAGCCTTTCTCCACTTATTTTGAAAATGAGAAAAAAAAAAAAGGTTTGGAGAAAACAGAGAAGTAGAAAGCAATGACAGACATCGTATGTTTTGTCCCTGACCCAATTACTGCCCCATATGTTAGCTTTTGGAAAATGGATTTACCTCTCTAACATAACATCTTGTGTGCAATAAGTACAGCTAAATTTCACAAGAACACTGTGATAATTAGTTGGTGTGATAACAGTACTTAAAACTTTCCAACTTTCCTAAGCTCTGTGAAACGTTTTGTGCTCTGCCAGATGAAATGCCTATGCACATTTCAAGAGTCTGTGTGGCTACATTCAGGCATTTGTGTAAGATTCACAGCAGGAATGGCTATTTGAATGCTTATTACTTGGAATAGAACAAAAAATAACTTTGAAAAATTCACCACTTTCAATATTAAAACAGTAAGTTCACACACTCACCCT